CCTAATATTTTCGAATTATCGAAAATCTTAAGTTACCATGTGTAATATATACTAATAAAAATTACACAAACTTGTTTATTTATATAAAATTCTCAAATGGTTTATTAACGTAGCGATCATTTGCAATATTACTTTGCAATCAATGTTCGTCCTTATTGCATTTTAAATAATTAGAAAAACTTAGGAGCTAAAAACAGATTAGCACGGCCACTGTTTTCTAGACCAACTAGACGTCAGGAACCACAGATTATTATCGATATTGATAAACGTCATTACCAATGTGTAATATATTACAAAAATGTATTTACTCCATATATAGGAATCATTACGTTGCCCTGATAACTCATTAAAAATTGGAAATTGAATTTTAACTGTCAGTTACGATTGTCACTTCTAGTTAAATTAGTTGAATATTGGGACCGGCCAAAAATGACGAAAGAGTGTAACCGTGATGAAGTTAATAAAAGCCACCATTTCCGAGAGCCCCTATAATGTCATTAATTCAGTGGGAAAGCTTAAAAAATCCTTAAAGCCAAAGGATTCCAATGGATTTCGTGCGCCGTCGACGTTCATATATTATTCAGTCGGCGTCCAAGAGCGTAAATGAAAAAGTTTCCGTATTCAATGACTATTGGAACACCACCAAAATACTCGTAAACCGGGAACTTCTCGAATCGATCCGGCGTTACGAGTTTGACAAGTTTCTTTAGGGATTGTTAGGTATTCGCTCCGTGCTCGCAGAGATTGCGAAATATGTTGATTACGGGACTGATATTGTTTAAGTTTTATACGGCATGAGCAAAAACTCAAGCGCTCGCTATCGGATATAGACATCAGGCTTATCTGTTTTTCTATTTAGTTCAGAATATACTCTATATACATTATTGTTTTTGGGTTGTTCGGCCGACGTTTCGCCATCACGAGATATGTTAGCTCCTCGATTGCTCGAAGAATTATGATTTATGATTTTAACAATTTAATAACAAAGTAGAACAGATAACCTTCAACCAAAATAAAGACATAAAATAATTTTTGCTTTGTATATCTCGATATGCACAGACTGAAGCCAAAATACGGAATTACTTCCTTTTAATTCACAGACCTGAAAAAATTTTGGATAGGTATTCCTACCACCCATTTGGTATGTAGATTTTCTAAAGGATAATATGTTAAAAAGTAGTTTACGCAAGTTAGCAAGCAGATATTGATTTAAAAACCTAACAATATACAAGTAAAACATTTTTAACGGTAAAAAACAAAAAATATATTAGAATGTTTTTATTTGTTTCAACCACAGCCTGACAATTCCGATGCCTTTTCAGCACCTGTGGTCAAGTTAATATAAAAATATAAGTTTTTCCCGTTTTAAACGTGTTTTATTTAAAATGTTATGATATTTGTGAACCATTTTCTAGTTTTTCGCGCGTAAACAGACAATACAGCAAAACAGCGAGTCCCATAAAAGCGTTCCGAAATATTACGAAAACGGTTAACCTAATAATCTAGCGCTAAGCGTTTTTGTGTTAAGCGAATCTTCGCTTGCTTCGTGACAAATTTAATAAGGCGTTACTAAGATTATAACGCCTAAAGATTCAATCTATCTAGTTAGGCGACGGCTCGGAATCGGTCCAGCAAGGAAATTCATTTTGTCGCTTTCCGTCGTTCCAATTTGATTACCGCTTCGTTCGACAGCCGGACATTGTGTATTGTAAATAATAGTTATTTAATAAAGTGCCTTTTTTTAGAGCAACTAGACAGCAATACTGAATAACTTATCATTAGCGAACACAAAAGGCTCAACGTAACACTATTTTTCATAAAGCGAAAAATTGACAATGTATATAAAAACATTGTCAATTTTTATAAATTTGTAGAAAAGCATTTTAGACTACATTTACTATTTTAAAATTCAACGGTAAATAAGAGCCAATAGTTATTACATTGTCAGAGCTTAGGACATAATAACAGGAATTAATTTCGAATTACAGTACACCTCCATGACAAAACTAGGTTAGATTTTCAGTGTTTACTTAGTAAGAGTAGGATATGTACGGCACTTGAACCGGCATGCATAACGTTCATTGCTGCTAGTCTAACCAATTGATTTATGTCGCGGTAGCTGAATTTGTTAGGTTAGGAACGCCGCTGTGATGCTGCTAATCCCGGTCTATCATAAAATATATGTATGACAATATATGTTTGACATAAATCTAAATGGTATTTTAATTTATATCAAAGTAAAAAATCCATTATTCACGTAGATATCGTGCCACCATGTGAATAACATGTGAAAAATACTAAATTTTTAAAGTTAAAATAATCATAATATTAAAATCGACGAGTTTTACAAATAAGTAGGAATTCAGTTTTCTCAATATGCACATTTTTTAATTCCATTTGCGCATGCCGTGCGATTCTATGACAATAAATAGACCGCAGAAAATTGTTTTCATTAGTTTAAAAGCACGTGCGAATTGTTTTTGCGAGATACGGAATATGTTATTCGTTTTTATGATTCATCCGCAGTTTTGTGTAAGGTTTATATTGGACGTTAACGTTATGGCGTGTCCGAATTTTATAGGGACCATCGTAAAACAAGTGAAGGTAATATAAATAATACATGGCTGACCGAATAAGCTCCTTTTTAATTTTTAATTAGGGGAGAACTTTCATTGGAAAATTTCTATACGATAAATTACATGCCACGAGGCTACTAACAAAACACACGATTTTCAATAAGGACAAAAAGAAAAACGCACAAGTAACTTGACGAAAATGAATTTAACTAGACTACTAAAAGTAAACATGATTTGTACACAAATAATGTATTGTTCCTACCGGAAACTTTCACTTTTTTTCTAATAGCCTAAAAGGGCTTTTTTGTCATTTGTAATTGATGTGTATGATTTATAGTAATTGTTGCTGTCAATCATGCTATACAGCGTAGCTTATTTTAAAATCTAGTTGTTCGTACTTATTATTATCGAATCCAACATGTTAGGAAATGTAAATTCCCATTCTATTTCTCCACGATTTAACTTTTAATTAAATAAATGTAACCAGTTTACCCAACCTCAAATTACTGGCTCAGTATATTTTAAGTTAAAAAATATTACGTGTTAATCCGTTACTTTTTGTTTGTGTAAAACTTTAGGTGAAATCGAAATTATTATTAGACCTTTTCAGTTAAATTTCTTTGGGGAAAGAATATAAGCTACCATATAATAAAACCACAGAATAAAAATCCAACATAATGCTTTATTTTACAAATACTACTACCGCCATCTATCGTTAGACAAGATATTTATTACATTTAGAGACGTTATATACAGAAAAATTTAACATTCAAATACAATTACGTAAATATAAGGCACATTTATAACATCCTAACTTAATTACAAATATGTATGCCGTAATCATTTTAATAAGATATTATGTACACGCCCTTACAACTATCACTACTTTACCATAATATATTTTTAGGTTATGGCTACAATAAAACTGTACAGTCGCGTCGATAAAATTGAAGATTTAAACTTTATACTGAAAATAGTATAAGATACAACAAAGAAAGTTTAAGTCAACATAAAAGTATATTGTTAAGAACGAAAACAGCAAAAAAGGAATGTCTTCAGGTCAAAGAAAAGAATAAAATCATTCTTAATATAGCAATATATCATTATACATTTAAACTAAATAGGAATATAATAAATTGACTTATTTACATAATATTAATTTACTGGCAGTATACTTAATACATATGTACAGTAGATATGTATCACAAAACGGAATGTTTTCAAATCAAAATCGTGTAACCGCTAGAATCATATTTTCGAATATTCGGCTGTCATTTGTTTTCAATCAGGAAAAAAACAGCATTTTCACCTTGCTAACGCCGAAGTACGCAATTAGGGCTGTCGTTAAAACCCTATAACACTTGTCGTTTACTTTTTATCGTCATCAATGCTGTAAAGTACGTGGGTATATTATATATAGAATAGAACAAGTATTATTTTGAACTAAAAATTCGGCGCTCAAATCTAAGACACAACTACTTTTCATATACTTAAACGTGTCGTTTTTGATTCACACATGCGATATAATTTGAAATAACGATATTGGACGAAAACCAGTGCCATTTTAATCTCCTTTGGACAATGGCTAAAATGAATTTTCGACGTTCAGTAAATTAATATTTCTATATGATTACAATTATTCAAAACGGCTTTACACGTATACCTAAAAAATATTCAGTCATCATGACAGACTCTTTGCTTTATGTAGAAAAAATATGGAAGATAAAACTAAAATAAATTCGATATGTACAATAGAATTTTTCAAATTAAAAATAATCTTAGCGTTTTAGTTAATTTCTGAATTTTATTGTGAAATCTTCACGTTTCTGGACAATATATGTAAGCCTATAATACACATAAACATCACAATATTCTTGATATACAAGCTAGGCTACTAATTTTGTCTGAAATTTATGGAAATACACCCAAACTTTTATAAGAATATATTTTATCGCAGTAGATATGTACACCGGGGTAATACTTAAAGAATACTCGATATGGTTTGGGTCATAAGTTGATATGACGTCAGAAGACGCAAGTTAACAATTACATAATGATACCGAATATCGCAAACAAAATAATCATGGGAATGACGTCCGGATCAGCGAATAACATATGTCAATTTCATATATTTCTCATCGAAATTCAACATCATTATGTTATTGACAACGTATAGCGCGTGTAAATAGAAGTCTAAAAAAATATCTACATGTGATAACGTCAAAATCTCTTAATTTACGCCAATTTAGGCCTTCTGAGGGGTTGACTCTGGAGTCAGGGGGTCAACTATTGAAGCGAGACATAATTCGAACATTGATAGCACATTTCTACAAAGCACACAGATGCGTAACAACAAGTGATGTGTATAACGAGTTAGCACAGTCTTTAGTGTTATATGAACAGCACTTCGTCGTAGGCCTCCGGCTACTCGGCCGTCAGCTCGGGACTCAGTCTGTCAGCGTTGAAGTTCTCCATGTTCCACATTTGCCTCGATTCACCTTCCTTACACGTCTCCATTGCGATCTTGTCCTTATTCCGGTTGATTGCCATACACTTTTCACTTGAACCGTGCTTCAGTAACTTTGTCTGTAATACAAGTTTAAGTATTAAAAGTTAAGATAAAAATATCGACCATTTATAAATGTTAGTCAAGAAAGCGTAATTTAAAAAAGTTCAAAAATCTAAGTATATCTTTTTTCAACCTAAAATCATCAAAATACCATTAAATCGAAGATTGACACGTGTATGTCATCGATAGGCTCTCATCAAAGTCTCCAAGTACATAGTTCAGATTGGTTAAATACCTCTATTTCATGTAGGTGACACATAATCTATCTTTAACAAATATTAACATAATGTCATCAGTGTCGTCAGTTAACTGCCGGTTATTAGTCACGCATGAAAGGCAGCCGCTGCAAAGTCCGCAAACATTTTTATTAGGCATTATTAACTTACGTTGGGGTCATACAGCCATAATTGGTTGCCCTTGGCTCCATGACACGGATAGAGGACGACGTCGTGGCCCGAATAGTCGAGGCAGGTTTCATCACGACGGATTTCGCCGTTCTTCGAATACATCCAATACTGAAAATATGCATGACCTTCTATGTACCGTCTTGAACTTTAAACAAGTACACTTTTAAGCGTGTTATTCGTTTTAAATAAAACAATTTCAAACTCATTGAGACGCAAACACTATTTGATGGTTTGGACGTTTTTAGTTCGTTAACACGGCTGCTGTAAAAAATAAACAAACTTTGTTCGCATTTCAGTGCTTATGCTTAAAATTGTTTTTTATATGTGTGCCATTCACATAAACTACGTATAACATTATAATAATCGTTAAATTGAGAAAAGAAAAGAACCCCAATTAATGATGAAATATCAAAAAATATTTATACAAAAATTAATAATGATGATGCAATTATTATCGAAACGCTTATCCCGAAACCAAATCCAATAAATCACCTCAATTAAACTGCAAGCTTAATTGTAAAATTCATGTAATTGATTTATGCTCGATAAATATTCCAATGATACATAGATAAACTTTGTGATAGATTACTATAAGCGTGTTCATATTTAATACAGAATGAACTTAATAACTAAAATATATTATTATTCGTAGCGGCAGTACCAAGGCGTAAAGAATATATTTAAACAGTAGATTAATATTTAATAATAATTTTTTTTTTTCAATTTATTTTCGATTTTTAAATTATATAGTGCCTTCATGTGCAATAACATGTGAAAAAAAAATATTAATGTTTTCAAAAGTAGATTAATATTTTTAGACAATCCATTACATAGAAGTGTAATAAACCTCCTACAGTATAATAATAATCGTTTTGTAAAAGCTGTTTCGTTCAAGTATCAAGTGAGTTAGCGCAGTACACGACATGCACAACATGAATGTTAAAAATGAATACAAAAAGGACATTACAAAACATACACATGAAGGTGATAATTCCAAAAATAGACTAAATGATAAAGCAAAAGCAATTTACAGTGTCGTTGTACGGTGGCATTCCACAAACCTGGTTCCCGTATTCTCCGTGGCACGGCCAAAGGTTAACTGGCTTTTTCATGTCCTCCGGTCCCGCTGCCGAGTCGAGACACATTTCCGATGTGGGATTCTCGATCTAATGCCATCCACAGGTTAAAAGGGGTGCCACAACAAGCAAGCGTGCAAATAGTCATTACTTGAGATACCATTTATGTTTGCAACTAAAATATCTCAAATAACAACAGAACAAAGAGGTGAATGTGTCGCACTAAAACTAACATAGAATGATACTTATTCGTTATAAGTGAATAAGCTCAGAGGTGGAGAGAAGAGGCCCCGAAGTTACACACGAACTGCACGTGGTACCTGATTCCCACCACCTCCGTGGCACGTATGCAACATTAAAATTCCAGGTTCCTCTTGGCTATCGTCGCCCTCGTCGCCGTCGATGCAGTAAGGGCGATCCATCGCTTCATTTCGTATCTAACGATTAGTATTACAAAACAAAATCATAAACGTGCAAGGTGATTCGTCCAATCGTGCTAAAATGCGAGTGCAAACAAAACGAAACAGCTAGACCGAAACGTGATCGCATAAACGTCAACATGGTACTGCCGCGCGAAGTCTTGTGAGCAATAAAAGACCTGGTTTCCTCCTTGCCGGTGACACGGATAAAGTCCGACGGGTTTATGGTGATCTGACTTCCGCGTCGGCGAATCCAGACAAGTCTTTTGGAAGGCGACATTTCGAATCTGTACGAGGATATTTAGAACAATTTTGAAAGATACAATAGTGTTATAACATTTTATATATTTGCACTCGATAGTATTAAAATTTTTGAAAAAACAATTTGGAATCAAATGGAAATCTGCATTTCTTAAGGTTTATGTGAACACTTGAAGTGCAAGATATACGAACCTCGCCGTGCGCCACTGATTCGCCCGGAATAAATAGCTCCGGGTAAATGTTCTTCAAATACCACTCAAACGATTTGCACCCGAGAGTCTCCCGCAACGCTAATCGGCTGCTAATGTCACCGTAATCACCTTTGTCATTACCTACTCGCTGATAATAATACTTTGCGTAGTCGTCCAGCCATACCTTGAGGGAAATAAAATAAAATTTTACACAACCCTTCCATAAGTTCAGGAAGCATTATTGAATAAAATACTTACCTCAGCCAACCTAACTGAGTTCTTTTTGAGCACGTTCACGCCAGTTCTCCATTTATACGGCGATCGTTTTCTGAATATATGACCTACGTGGGAGCACGGAACAATTTCTAAAGTTCCGCCGCACATCCACGTTTTGAAGGATAGCTCCAAATTTTCACCTCCCCATATGTCGAAGCCGCTGTCGTACGTTCCGAGTCTTTCGAAGAAGTCTTTGTCTATCGCGAACAGGCCACCGGCCATAGTCGGAGACCAGACGGGCTCGGCGGTATGTTTGTGTCTCGCTCTTTCTTTAGCCGGCACCGGGTGCCAATTGAACTGGAGATTCCAGTCAAAACCGCCAACATTGACCGATGATGAGTCCCTGTAGTGATATTCGAGCGTGTTGTCGTCGATAACGTCAATTACTGGACAGACCACAGTAGTCTTGTTACGTGCAATTCTGTCCAACAGAGGTTCCAGCCAACCTGAAACAAAGCAAATTTTATAATACATTTACAGATTACAAAGATTTTTATAAGATTCTGAGAAATGTTGTTACTTTTTTATAACCTTTAAAAATCATTATATTAGTCCATTAATGTTTAAGCTAATTCAAGGCAGTATATGCAGTTTTGTCGCAGACCACAACAAATCGATACTAATATATAAAGCTGAAGAATTTGTGTATATGTTCGAACGCACTAATCTCAGGAATTACTGGTTTGAATTGAACAATTATTTATGTGTTGATTAGAGCAATTATCGAGGAAGGCTGCAAAACATTGCGCTGTGATTAATAGGAGCAACAAAACAGCGGGAAATGTAGAAAAAAAACGGGGAAAATCATTCATCTTTGTAGGTTTCCATTGCGTACGCTGCAAAAACGGTTTCAGATACCCAAAACATATGTATGATAAAATGATTCCTCTTGAAATTATCTAAAAATATGCCCGCGACAATATATGTCTATCTTTGAAGACTTATTTTGCAAAAACGACGGGACGCGGCCAACGTCGTTAGTAACATTTAAAAGTTAAGTAGATGAGACGGAGGTTTGCAAAAATAAAAAAGAACTATTTTATATGCGAACGAAGTCGCAGGCACAGCTAGTTGTAAATAAAGCAACCTTCCATGTGTTTATAACAAAAGCAAATATTACTTGTATTTGAAATAATAATATTGTATATTTCAGTTACAACCTTCTGTGCATTCGCAATGGCTGTCGAGATAAGTCAAGACGGGGGCTGTGACGTATCGGGCTCCGAGTAAACGTGCTCTGATGAGACCTTCACGCCGTGCCGCACGAACTATGCGAACTTTGGGTAATGCGGACATGTAGTCATCTAGCTGCTGCATCAAATGTGCTGTAACAATATTGTTAAGTTACTCAAATAGTTGGAGGAAACATATAACCTATTTAAAACCAAATTTAGTTCTAATAAGGCTTAAATAGCACTGGTAAAGTTACCTACATACAAAAACATCTATAAAAGTTGCAAGATATCCAACAACGCGATAGGAAAGTGATTTTAATAACAAAAAACTTTTTAACTGTAGTAGCACATCCGGACTGTAATGGGATACATTTTTAATCTATAAACTTATTATTAATCTATAAACTTATTATTATTATATTATTTTTATGATTTTTCACTTTAAATTTTTTTAAAATTATTTTTAATATGTAAGATACATTTTCAAAACTATGCAGACTAGAGTATATTAAATACATTTTATATTTAAAAATCAAATAAGCTGTACTAACGCATATCGGAGAAATCGTCGACAAGAACGATCTCCTTTATTAAATGCGGGGGCGACCGGTCGATGACTGAATGAACTGTCCTCAGTAGCACAGACCAGGCTTCGTTGTGGAAGCATATAACAACAGACGTCTGCGGCAGGTCCTCTAGATAACGACCCGGCTGCTTACACCTGGATAAATTCACACACAAATATTTAAATACTGTCTATAGTTTACGCGAGTAGTACACATTTAAATAAAACACTTTAACGGTTTAAAACGCGATATATTAGTTAAACTTATTTGAAAATGATTTTTAACTTCGGACCGACGTTTCGGATGGCCGGGCCGAAGTTAAACATAATTTTCCAATAAGTTTAACTAATATATCGCGTTTTAAACCACAAATATTTAGTATACATTTCGTAATAAATTTGTAGTAACAAACAGTGCTGAATACATATATAAATAACGACATGGTATACAAGACTACAGTAAGCAATATATTATAAATCTATTAGTATTAAAAAAAAATAAGACATAGTCGAGTTCTAAACTGGCATACACAACGTTCAGTGCTAACCTAAGCAGATCACCCCTGCTCTGCGTGTCATCGTTGGTTTTTTGCAACCCATACATGCACTTCTCGCAATCTTAACACGTAACCAATATAGTTTTAAACCGTTAAAGAAAGGCGTTAACTACAGATGGATCTCACTACTAACAATTCAGTAGTTAACTAGAAAGCAAAGAGTCTCCAAATATTCAATTGTAGCGCCTAAGCGGTTTTTTTATCGTTGTAAACTTTGCATTACAACTTCTATAATGGCAACAATGAATTATAACTGTTTATTAAAACGAGTGTATAAAACAATAATATAAAATCTATTTCACCCTTTTCTATAATATATAACACAAAGGCCCCAAATCAGTAAGCGAAATGTAAGGACACGCGGTATTCACTTTACGATGCGACGTCTCACTGATATCACTTATCCCCTACTATTTCTCAATTTATGAAATTCCATCCACAATCCTTACCCTATTAAGATAGCCACATATCAATAGAAGCCTTACCACTCGTCCCTCGGGTCGGGGAGCTTCCTTCTAATCGATATCAGGTCACTCACGTACTGATTGAACGCGTTCTTTTTCCATCCTTCAGAGACGGCGGTTTTCGCCTCCTCGCTCATGTTCTTGGGGAGGATTACAGGTTTTCCGAGCTCCCCGGGCGCATTATCCGATCCGGGTGCGGCGATCACGCCGAGACCTGGAGGATTTTGATACGAATAATAAAAAAGGAGGAAAACGTGTGAAGATCATCTACATAATATATTTCTCTCTTGACTCGCCCCTAATAAATATTATAAAAATTACTAGAGATTCTAGAAAGATCTCAGCTCATCTCATATATTATAGATATATAAAAAATAATATCTCACAATTATCTAACAAGATAAAATTGAACGTGAAAGTATCCGTGGAACTGATCGGAAGCCGGATGCCGTACCTCAACTGACATGTGTGAAACGGGGTTAGCTAGCGATTAGCTATATCCCACATCCCTTCGGCCCATGGGAACAAAACTATTACATTCTTAACACTCCTAATATGTATTACTTCTGAATTTATTTAACGGAATATATTAAGGTCTTATTATTATGTAATCAATATAAATACAGTACTTGACGTCCTTTGTAAGTACTTAATTTTGGAACGATTAATTTATGAGAGAACTGTGTAGGCATACTATAAAATATTCATGTCTTGGAAGATTACGTTGCATATAAATCAATTTAATGACATATCAAAGTTCAGCCTCACTTCTTATACATGGATAAAGGAACAAAACGAAACAGATTATAACTTTTAAATGTGTACCTAACCAGCCAAAGAAACAAGAGTTAAGCACAACATGCAGACGAAAATTCATAAAACATGAGCTGATAGCGATCAGTAATTTCGATTCATCAGCGTGGTGGCTATTTATGTTACCGCCAATCTGTACAATCCGGTATTTTATACAATATCAAATTTATGTATTTGTATAGAATAATTACAATAATGTATAATAATATATTTTATTTATATGTACCAAAGAGGATGTTTTAACTTACTCCTAGTCCTAATTCTGTTGATAGGTGACACCTGTCAATTTTTTGACTTCCTTAACCCAATTAATACTTTTAGTGGACAACTGAAGAAGTCGGGTACTAAGTCTACTAGACCTAAAGATATTGATATCGGAGATAATACCAAATTATCAGTGATTGACGGTAACATACAGTACAAGCATAAAATGAAACATGCATTTACCTTCCTTCCCTGCGATGCGACCGATCCAATCGACCCTCGTTCGTGCTGTGATGGATAAATGCAGGTTATCATGCAAATTCACTAAATATACAGTACTTATACTTAGAATGAAAAGCTCTGTTAGGACATTATATATAAAGCTATAAAAAATCCTATTGTATAAAATAAATCTTTTCGTAAGGAAAATTAAAACAATTATTAACAAGTGAAGAATTGCTGTATAATACACATATCTTCTGTTTAAAATTTAATAAAATAACGAAAGTGCATAAAACTTGTTTTTATACGGAAAATGCAATTTCAGTACGACCTTAGATTAAAATAACATAAAACTTTAATCTAAGAAGATCCCGCATTCTCTGAACCTAAACAAGGGGACGCGAGTGCTAAAGAGGGAGCTCAAATGGAGCCATTATTTACAAGGGTCATAAAATCCCAACAGGCGATAGAGCGTAATGAGAAAACGTGGGACATAAATTTCAAAATAATTGCATATTTTATTACATAAACTTCGCAACCATGCACGGTGCACTGCCGCATATAATCAAACGCAGTACGATAACGCAAAAAAACTATTTTCATCAATTTTAATGTGGTTTTCTCGTTCGTGCGTAACTCGTAAAATTGCTACGGTTGTCCACGTTAAATATAGTCCGATTAAAGAAATGGGCGATGCTGATATAGTAAAACTCGCTGCAACATTAAATTCAGTTACACCAACATACCGAAAGCGCATGCATAATGTGATAGCAATGGAACTTACCGTCTGATAAATTATTCCCGTACGATTCGCTTTTTCTCTTGGTGGCTGTTGGTTTAGCCATCTTAAGAGGTTTTGCTTCCGCATCCTCATATTCTATTGGCGGAGCGCCGATCGCATTTCTTGCCGCTCCGTTTGTGGTTAATAGCGCCACCATAAACCATAGAGCGGTCAAAATCAAGACAGCTTTGAGAATCAGCGTCCTTCTCCGTAGGAAAAACATGCTGTACTTCATTTTGTATTACTGTACTATTTAATTGAAATCTTTTGATTTATTTACACTAAAATCTATCTAGGAATACTTTTTTAGATTTTGAGCAATAACTTTTCTATCTATAATCACATACAAGTGACTAGCATAATGAGATATGTCCAATTGTTTGAAATTCCGATATGATTTCAGATATGGGTATGTTGAGCTTAGTTACATGACTTTGGCTTTGATTATATTTATTACAGCTCTATTGTCGATGTTTTTTTCTAGTTCTTAGATTCATCTCTGATCATTACATCGCCTTGAACAGTTGCCCATTTTAATGAACCTGAAACAAAGTGAAATTAAAACTGACCTTAAACCTGAGAGTGAAATTAAATTGAGATATTAAAGTAAAAAGGAATTCACTTAATTAATTGCTAGAAAGTTGAAAAAAAATATTTTGAGCGAAATTCATTTCTTTTTAATACTGAAATATCGTCTGTAATAGTTTAGGAAAATAATTAAATTCATGAGAATGTTAAAAAAAATATGCGCCGTATATGAAAGGATACTAACAAGAAAGCCAAAATAATATTTGAACACAATATACAATATTCTAATAGCTCAATTTATTTTACATACATTTATTGTATTTAAATATTATTTATGTTTTGTTGTTAGCACCCTTCTCTTATTTCCCTATACATATAACCTATGTTAACTTTATAAAATACTTTGAAAATATCAATTATTTAAATTATAATTAGGTACGTAAGTGCTAAAGCTTGATTTCTATATTATGTTTAAATAGTCAAAGTATTTTCGTAAATTTTCCGCCCAAGCATATCGGGTATTGGGCGGAAAATTTACGCGTATATACATATTATACACATATGTATTCAAATATAATTTATATAGATATTAATATTTATGACGTGTTGATCTGTCAGTATACGCAAAAATATATTTACCTACAATTATAATGTTTAGGTTGTTGGCCAAAACCTGTAACAAAGAAATATTTTTTTTATTATTTCTATAATCTATTTTATATATGATATTATAAAATACTCGGACACGGAAGTAACATGTTAAAACCTGAACATGTATAGAAATAAAGGATGAAAAGGAAATGTTTAACAATTTTTAAATTAAAATCGCCGATCGTTCAAGGTAAAATGTGGTTTCACCATATTTTTTATTACTTTCATTTTCTCGAATCCCACCAGGACACGATCCGCTTTAATTACTGAAGAAAATTGCTTTTATAAGCAAAATTCGACAGGTGGACTGCTTTGAATAATGTCTTTTAATAAATTTGAATTTAATTTAAATAAGTCGATATCGGAAAAAGGTTTTTCACCGTAGGAAGCTGTAGTGGGTATTTTACTTATATAAAATATGAATTGATAATTATACATTAATTCATAGCATTGATAAAGCTTATGTATATAGACTAACTGTAAAATCTACGTCACTGTAGATATCACATAGAAATATATAAATTAAATACTGTCTACAGTTTAGGCGAGTAGTACACATTTAAATAAAACACTTTAACGGTTTAATTAGATACATCAGAGCTAAGACATAGTTGTATATTTGTAGTGAGTAAATTTTTTGTCAAAACCTGTATTATAAAGTAACGATTTAATAAAAAACAGGCACTAATTTGAAAAGTTTTGCCACAAAATTGTTTCTTTAATAAAAAATAACTAACTGTAACAAAACAACAAAAAAATTATACACTCCGACGCTTCGTTTAAAAATCTACCGCAGAAGTTAATATAGAATGAAGTTTAGCCAACTTCGGTCTCTTGATATTATTGTTGTGAAAATGCTGTTTTAATATTACAATCCAGAGAATGAGACTTTACAAGGTCCAGAGTAAAGTTTGAACAAAACAGTATTATCGTAGTGGAAGTAAGCAAGATAAAACGTCGAGAAAAAACTGTTATACTTACATAAAAAACCGTTGGGTAAAATGTTGTATGCATACTTCTTGCATTTTTAAACTTCGCCTGATGTCTCGAAGCGATTTAAAATAGCCATATTAAATAAAACACGAGACAGCATATTTATTGTTTATTCTTTAATTTAGTAGTCAAAATTCCGTTCCAAATTTCAAATTGCAAATGCCAACGAAGTCATTATTAAAACTATTTGACGTTTGAATACTGTCTGTAGTTTAAGCGAGTAGTACACATTTAAATAAAACACTTGAACGGTTTAAATCTCCCCGTGACTACGGCTGCTGCAAAGCATATACGTAAAACGACATGCCGTAGTTAAACATAATTTTCAAATAAGTTTAAGTAATATATATATCGCGTTTTAAACCGTTAAATTATTTTATTTATATTTGCCTTTTTTTTTAAATTAAAATCGATTAAACACCAATCACTAGAGGACACATAATACATATACCTCATTTAAGGGGTAAATAAGGTATAGTTATTCTATGGTTTCGCTAATGTCATAGAAAATAATAAACGACGTCTACAAAACTTTAAAGACACTTTTTGTATTTGATTAATTGAATATATGTTAAGTTAAATCGAGCATGAGTCGCCAATACAATAAGTCTCTTTTGGGGTTGGAAATGGAGCACCGACTTCTCGTAAGTATTAACTTTTCTTAAACTTTACACAGACTTCGTTTCGTAACTGAGACATCTCTGGAGCGTGATATAACATCAATGGCATTTGCATTTAGCACCCGCTGGGGTCCTACCTGCAGAATGTCTCCATTTTTACTACAAACTATAGGAGATAGCGAAATTTTTCACTGTGGCCGTGTGGCTATTGTGGAATTGTTTCGGTGAGGCTGGTGTATAACAGGGTTACGAATAGTGATCTGCGCAACGGACACAAAAATATATCTACCCCAGCCCCAGGAAGGTTAATCAGGATTTCATTTATATTAATAACGAACATTCCGTTTAATATAAAGTTGAATAATAAATGTAATTTTTGTATATAATTCAAATTTAGAATACCATTAGGAAAATACTGAAATTGTAAATAAGTTAAAAATCGAAAATAAAATGAAAAAATTTTCGACTCGGGCAGGACTTGAACCGGCATCGTCGTTTCGTGGAACGCTGCCGTCCGAGTCGAAATTTTTTTCAATTTATTTTCGATTTTTAAATTATACATATAGTGCCTTCATGTGCGATAACATGTAAAAATGATAAAGTTTTCAAATGTAAATAAGTTAACAAACTTTATTTGTTTAAATAAAACACTTTAACGGTTTAAAACGCGATATATTAGTTAAACTTATTTGAAAATGATTTTTAACTTCGGCCCGACGTTTCGGATGCTTTGCAGCAGCCGTGGTCACGGGGAGACTGCCACGGCTGCTGCAAAGCATCCGAAACGTCGGGCCGAAGTTAAAAATCATTTTCAAATAAGTTTAACTAATATATCGCGTTTTAAACCGTTAAAGTGTTTTATTTAAATGTGTACTACTCGCGTAAACTATAGACAGTATTTAAACTTTATTTGAGTCATATTTTCCAATTTCAAATATGTTCAATATCGATACTGAATTAGTGACTTCAGCTGCTTGTTAGCGTCCTCACTAATAAATAAGAAGTTAATAGAAAATTAACCAATTTAATTTAAGATTTAGAGCACATTTAAATTCGGGGCTCACATTAATACGGCCTAATGGCTGTCATTTATTTCGTCGCTCCGTAGGGACGGACGCAATTGTTGGGATTTAAGTTACCTTTTCTATTAGGCGACTCATTTCTACATACGCCCTATTCAATCCGTGTTTTATGGTATGCAGTAAGTTGTAGGACAATGTGGAAATACAATAATATCAAAGCAAGGGAAATAGTTTATTAGCAAAATAACTTGAGTGACGGAATAGAAAAAAGTGAATAATTTTACCTACCTACCTACGAGGTAGTAGGTAGTACCTACTAGCTCTACTAGTACTAGTAGTAGTTGTAGGTACAACTGACATAACATGTCATGACAGCAGTAATTCATTAAAAGTTATGAGATTTCCTTGCATGCGATGTCAGTTCAAAAATAAATTATAATATATTAATATAGTTATTGAAACAAACCGTGTGTATGAATGACCGTTGCCGATTGCTAGTACTAAGTATATTAAAAGATATTTGACGTAATAATTACTTATTATCATCAGTAGATTGCGAGAAAAAGATTTTTTTTAAGAGAATTTAGACTGCACTCTGCGAGAATAAATCATAATATTTCCATATGTATTTGAATAAAATTCTTACTAAACAATTGTTATACGATACTTTTCTTTTAATGTTTGCATCGCATCAATTTTGTAGACATAAAAGCTTATATGTTGTAGTATTTATCTGTTTAATTAGTACATAAAATAAAGCGAATTGCAGTCCGCTAGGCCACTGACTCACCCACAACACAGCTAATTACATTTACAAGGTATTAATGCCATCCACGGGCGCTTGTAATCCATTTTATTTGTCTCGTAATCCACTTATTTGTTGCATCCACAGTACGTACATTCTTTCCGCGGGAATTCTAAAGAAATAAAATTGTACGAGGAAAATTATTTTATGTTTAATCTTGTCTGTGTTTAATCTTCGCCCGAGCTGCTGTGAAAAATGTACAAGACACAAACTGCTAGATGTTACGAAAGTGGATTAAAGTGATTTTTTATTATTAGTTCAGAAATGTAGATGCATTAGAAACAATTTCACTATGAAACATAATTATTATGCTTATCTATTATAGTCTTCTAGTTTAAGTGGTATTAAAAAAACAGATCTCCGCCTCTGTTCCTTGAACAGTTCATAATAATAAATTATATTGTATGCGAAATAAAAAACGACAAGCAACGTTAAAATGTTAGTCGTATTATTCTAACGTTGTGGAGATTTTTAATTATTCCAATATTAAATTCTTCGTCGCTTTTGAGGATGCATAGCTGGAAATATTTATTGAAGCGTGTACTGCAGCTTTTAAAAGATGAAGTTATTTCTTTGAGATAAACAATTAATTCAACCCTGGCGTACTGCGAACGTTTAGGGGATTTTTGTTTTATGTAAAAAAAATACTTTTATGGCTATATTTTTTTGTTTAACTAACGAGTATTAGAATAAAATAAAGAAGACGATAGTATAGTTTGAAAGTAAAAAAATATTTAGTAACGGTATTTAATTATATACACATTTGCTGTCGAAACGTCGTAACTGTCCTATTATTTCTGTCATTGTTAAATCTCCTAATGAGGGCATGGAGTCAGTCCAACAGTTCTAGATTGTCCAGCTGTCCAGCCCCTACAAAAGCTTCGTACAAAATCCGAATGAAAATCATCGTTGCAAAGTGCTAAAAATATTCGCTTTTTCGAAGGAACGAAGCTGCATAATTCATACGATTGCAAAGCAAGCGCGATTCTCTTGATTTGCCGCCAAAGAACTGGGATGATGTATGGAAACTTATTCATGGTTATCCGATGCAGTGACGACGTAGGACTTACAGAAGTTTTTCACTTACCATACTTAAAGATATTCATTGGATATTTCTATATAGAGGTACCAATGAGACGTGAACGAAATTGCATTTTTTTTTCTTGCTAAATAAACGTTACTTATAAAGTTTAATACAATAAAATTTATTTCTTGTTCAAACAATACAATTAAGTTTTTGTTTTATAATTATTTTATGGAGACAAATATAACTTGCATTGTAAACTATAAGGTGCACTAAACGTTAAAGCTAAGTAAACCCTAGTAACCCTAGTTTCTCAGTAAGAGATTTTTTGTAATAATTTGAGATATAGATAATGTTGTATAATAACAAATGTTAACTAACTATAATTAAAAACATACTTCTATATAACCATTAATTTATTCGTCGGAGATCATGAACACGGACACTAAACGTGTCGGAGGAGGAAAATGTAATTGCAAATATACATTTTTATTAAAACTAAACGATATTTAAACTTGATACGAATTACTAAAAATGATATTCATAATTTATGCACTGCAAACACTAAGGGGTGACAGTAAAACGTTGACAACACTAATGAGAAACGGTAAACTAACACCGAAACTGCGTTAATTAAAATATAAGACTTGCAGTGGAATTTTCAGCGAGCTGAAAGTACGGCTGCAATGACGTGTGGGGATCAGAGCACTTAATGAGACCGCAGCCCGACCACAACGAGTCGTGTACTCCTGCAACGGTGGCTTACTTCTACCTCAACCGTTGCTGACTATTTTATAGGGCTGACCCACTTTATAACATGTAAAAATACTCTTTCGCCTCAATTGTATCATAACAGCGTCCGCAGCTCAATGGATCAGTGTATCAGGACTGGGGTTAGCTGGGATTCTAACTAAGGGTCGCGCTAAGTTGTCTGATCTACTACTTGCCATTTGAAAACTTTAGTATGTCTACCAAACTATTGCCAAAAAGTATGTAATATATTGTACAGGGTGGTATTATATAAATTAAAAACCCATGCTGCTATTCTAGCCTAAGACACGGTAGCCTAAATGGTGATAGCAGCAGCACGGAACGCCCTTTCGTGTCGTAATTTTTTCGTAATCTACTTTTAACAAATTTGTAAATTTTTTCGCCTACATGTATGAGAAATAGGGTTTCTCTCCTGTTCGGTAATTGATATTATATAAAGACCAGTACAACTAAAAGCAATTTAGCAATTTTCTTGAGATTCGATCTAGGACATCTCCCAATTATTTATAGCGAGGTAACAGTTAACACCTACGGGGAGTTAAGTATGGTTCTATATATACCTACACATAGTTGAAGTTTAAAAGTTTAAATCTTGTTATGTCTGTACCCCTTTTGATAGCACAGACTTAATGTCATGGATAATTCGAATATACAGATAATAAACAGCGAGAGCACAGAAAGCCTGCGACAGACATTCTCTTAGCGTAAAATATTAAAGGCCACGAACATATATTCTTCAGCCCGTAAATTGTTCTCGCACCGTGAGTTCACCTACACTCGTTTAATTCAAGACCTCTACCAAAATTGTCTTCCTTTTCTCCCGAGTTGTATACTATATTTTCGATTGTGTGACTCCTTGGGGAAAATTAAATAGCGTAAAGTGCTTGAAATTCCTCAAAATCACGACATAATATAGAGTTGAAGTTAGATACATATGTGCATATTTCAATCGAATGTTTACGCGTAAGTAGTTATAGTTCAGTTGTTTGTGTACGTAGCCATCATAGTGGTATAAATGAAATAAAGACGATAACCGTTTGATGCTAACCGCTCTTAGGCAGTCCTTACGAAGAATAAGCATATGTCACATGCTAAAAACACAAAATCTTAGTATTTGTAGGCTTTAGAAAGTTTTTAGCCTTCATTAGTAGCTCTAACTACTTGTTGGTAGTATTTTAGTACATATCTGTTGACAACTTATGCCAACGGGACAAAATCTATTTTAACTTCTTATAATATGGATATGAAATAATAGAGATAAAACACCGTAAATGCCAGTAAAGTAGGTTCACAATGTCACGACGCTGTCATGTCGATAGCTTTCACGTCATTTTAGTAAATTTTACCAGCATGACGAGTCAAAAGATGTTTACAATCTTAAATTAAGCGCTTCATAAGTACTGCTTCACACATTAGCAGTGAAACGAAAGTGAATCTTATTCGTCAGTCCCATGCCTCACGTGAAAGCGGTCCATTTGATCTTCTATCAGTCCCCAAGTTTCCCTAGCGTCAGTTGCAGATATCCATTACGGTTTCACTTTCTATATTAGCCGTAAATAACGTCACGATTCGCATTACTTTTAGCGTAATTTAGAAAAAGTTAACAATTCCTTTACAAAAAATGGATTTTAAGAAATGTTTGAGGTCGGCCAAGGTTACAAAAAGTTCGTGATCTATTTTTACTCCCATAGATTTTTGAATTGCTAGTAGTTTCTATAATTTACATTACATTTTAAGCATAACATTGATATTGGAATCCCAATAGGCACTAAAAAAGATAATTAACCATGTCGTACGTAGATACAAAAAATACAACTTAAGTACAAATAGGTACATATTAAATGAAAAACAACAAATCAAAATCTTTGCATTTATTTTTTAAACCTCTACAATTACAAGGATTGTATTACGTTAGGTGTATAAAAAATCTCATCAAGATATAAAAATAATACGATAGGTAATGTAATCGTGATTTTTAACACGATCGATTATTAAATGCACTTAAGAGCTGAGATCATCTTACGTGTCTAATAAGGCCTTCGCTAAGAGTGTTGTTAAATTAAAAAATAATAATTGGATCTTTTGAAGCGAAAATCTGATATAAACGACTTCTCAGAGACAGGCTGACCTATATAGAAAAGCGACCTTAATATTTGATACCAATCATGTTATAAGTAAAATTAATTATTATTATAGTAAATAGAAGTACTTCGATATTGCGTTGGATGATTTTTAATTTTTGACGTTTAAGTATAATTGTAAGTTAGAGACAGGAATCGATTTTCATTTTTGTACCACCGGAACATTATTGGGTTCGAGTTCGGCCCAAACAATGAATAGTTTTGGTCAGTGCTGAAAAGTCAGATCAACTTTATAACTATACATAAATTTTATCAGTTAATAGTTCAACTGGTACAGAAATAATGATCTATCTTATACTGTCGAAATTTACTTAAATTTTTGAAAAAAAAAGAAGAGGTATTATAAGTAGTTATGGTAAGCAGTTTGATCAGATTTATTTATTTTATTCCATTCTTAGTTAACAGTGGCTTCAAAATGAAGAATTTTGTTAAAATGTGTATAACAATTCAATACTTATAAATGACGTTACGTAGCAGCGCGTTAACAAAGTTATATGTAGAAAGCAGCCTTTAGTAAAAATTAAAAATACTGTGTGGCTTTGTTTTCGTAGTTTTAAAAATTAATTTTATGTATTAACTGGTACAAAGGTTGCTTATAACTTTAAAAATCGATCGTTAAGTTTCGAATTTCAAAGTTTCAATTTTGTTTACTTAATTTTTTCGTCAAACTATTCCGGGTCATATGAATTATAGAGGACCACTTACCTAGTACATGTATGCAAAATGAATCGCAAACGGTTCATAATTACATCCCAGCCCATTACCGATGGGTATCCGATAATTAATCCATCTATTAAGTCACATTTAGACGGCTCCCATTAGACCCACACCAAATACATTAATAACTTCCTCGTAACGATCCCGAACGGGCAAACGAATGTATTTATAGGGCTAGCTGTTTTATAGAAGTATAGGTATAGCAATCAATACTGTCTGTAGTTTACGCGAATAGTACAGTATTCGCGAATCATTTAAATTAAAGATTTTAACGGTTTAAAACGCGATATAAATTAGTTAAACTTATTTGGACATTATTTAAGCTACGGACCTACATTATGCCATGGTTACGAGGAGACTAATGATGGAGGGTGTCTCTGACGTCAAAGTAAAAACTGCTACGCCATTAAAATAGTTTTGAAATAAGTTTTACTAATATAAATCGCGTTTAAACCGTTATAGTCTTCTATTTAAATATACTATACATACCATGCGCTGCCTGACCGAAAATAATTTCATATGTACCTACCCGAGCCCAAAACGTAGGAGTCAAAGTAAAGTAACGTAAAGTAAAAGATCTAAATATTCAATTGAACCTTTCTAATCGTTATTTATTATGTATTTCAAAACTTTTGGTTGGAGATTAATTCTCAGATTTTAGGTAATTATTTTTCCGCTTTATCTTTTAATCTTAGAATTGGTTAATAGAGGAAGAGGTCTCAATATCGCATGATTTTTTAAGTTCATAACGCAATTAAGAATCCCATATAAGTCACAAAGCATATAAATTAAAATTAATGCAAATCCCCCAAAGTGAGCTTCCATGAAAATCTCAAAAGATTCTACAGTCTGGGCAAATCTCCTAACAAAACACGGTAACCCCGCGGGTCAATTGATTGAGTTCATCTGATCCGTCACTCACAATAGGTGAATTAACGGCCGACAGAAATGACATCGACCGAGCCCTTTATTGAAAATGTTTAATGGTGTTTTTCTCAGAATATATTTTTCATTCTTTTCCATTAGCTACGGTAATGCGTTTTCTCGAGGAGCCGAAAAGCTTACCTTTTTGTTTGAATCGCCGACGCGCCGTAACTGTCGACAAAGGAAAAAACATTTATAAATCTATTGTTCGAAATGAATAATTTAGAAATACAGAATAAGAAATCAGTGGGTAAACAATAAAACAGGTAACAATGTAAATAGATTGGACTCAACATGAAACGGAGAGAAAATATTGAATTATCTCTTCGCAGTTGCGTATTTGACTTCGTTTCCTTTGAGAAAGAAATCAAATGTCTGATATTTAATATTACAAGGGACATAGATCCGGCTTAACCCGACCGTCAGAGACAGGTGACCGGCCTTTTTGAAACGTGGAATCACGATCCGTGATGTAAGAGTTAAGAGTTGTCGGTTAAAAACCCAGTTCCCGAAGCAATATGAGCACGTACGATAACATGTAATCCTCTCGAAAAATCTTTAATAAATTATTCGCGAATACGGTAGGGTTGAGTGGCACTCAATGATTAACGGATTTGGCAACCATGTCGATGCAATCTCGAGGGTACTTGAGGCCGCTCGTTACGGAGTACGGCCATTAGACCAGAGGAGACCGCGGTCCCACTTCCAACCCGTCGCGTCCCTAAACACTTACTGGGCCTTCAGGGTTTGACGCGTTATTGGGTTACCAAAAGATAAAGCCCTAATCTAAAATTCACGGTAATGAAAATGAAGATACATAATGTATGGAGGCATTTAGATCTATAAAAATGAAAAAAAAAAAAACAAGATTCCCTCCAAGTTACGAATAAATGGAAATTAACGAGAGTAGTTTACATTGAAACAATAGTATAACCCAACCTGGAAACAACGAGTAAACAAATATGCAGACGATTCAACAGTTGATAAACTAGCCTAAATTTGTTGATTTATACTATTATAGTGATGTATATACTTTGCACTTCTTCTTCGTTTTTAATTCAAAAACGTTTACACATATAAATGAAAATCCTAAGTATATACCTGGGTCCTAAATATCTTCATGCAGTAATACCGCCGTCCTCTTATATCCCCCTTAATAAGGGCCTCAACGCCTAATTGACTTAACATTGGATTAATAACGGTTACGGACTAAAATATGCTTAAGGGAGACCCGTTACGGGAAAGCGTCATTTCCCCGAATGTAAGGATGTGACGACCGCGCAATTTAGCTGCGATATTTAATTACTAACATTCGCTTTATAACCGGTGTTCCCATATGGCATGACTATTTAAATAACGCTTAAACTAATATGATAGTAAGTTATAACTTGCGTTGTTCTACTATGAGAAAAGCTGGGATAAATGGGTTTTGAACGGTCGCTAAAGCTTTTATGGGCCAGTATATGAATCATGATACAGGCACAGAAATGTGTCGGTACCGCTTTGACATAGAAATAATCATAAATAAACTTTTAGATTATATGTATAAGTAGATTATAATATATGCTTTTGAAAACAGTTAAAAAGTATGAAATATCAAAACAATAGCTCCATGGAAATCATTATGTCTCTTATTTAATTCCCCTGAGAAACTAAAGTTAACGCCGTTCAGCATTTGCCTCGTTCAACAAATACAACACTACGATGACGTACCGATTCCATAACTACTACAGCCATTGTGTTAACTGTTTCGGATACTGCATTTCATAGAATACAATCCAGCGATATCCATAGTACTATCTGCCTCCCATTCTTCGAGTCGCAGACAAAGTTTTAATCACGAAATGCAAGTAGCAGAGCGGTGCAAAACTTGGCATCCGGTCTTTCAGGCTTTCGCTTTTAATAGATTGTCAGCCAGTATAGTTGGCGCGCGATTGTTACTTATTGAATGCTAAGCACTTACTCGTACAACTTCGAGGTCCGCTCTTCACCGTGAGAAAACTTGGATAAGAGCCTCCTGGAATCTACCTGAGCCGAGTGTTGCTGTTAATATCTTAATAAGATAACACTCCGGAAAATTTATAGCCTATCATCGTGATACTGTATTAGAGTTCGATTCTGGTGAAGACAAAAAATGTCTGTAGTTTACGCGAGTAATACACATACTCTTCCATCATTACTCTCCCCGTGACCACGGCTGCTGCAAACTATCCGAAACATCGGCCGTCGTCAAAATAATTGTCAAATAAGTTAAACTAATTTTTATCGCGTTTTTTGTGTTTTATTTAAATGAACACAAACATAGCAAAACTTCTCAACATAATTTCAATATTATAAACACAAAATGTGTTAGGCCCTCTTCCTGAATCTGTAGAAGCAATCCAAATTTATTTTTGGGAAAAAAATATATATCTAGTCTTATTCTTAGCATTTTTTCATTCGAATACGTGCAACCTCACCGATAAAAGGTAGTCATTGTCCTATACGGCATTTTTTCACTGTTGACTTAAATAGTTAAACTTTAAAAAATATAGTTTGCCTAATAAAACAACCAAAGCTACTAGACCATAATTGAAATTACTATATAATTTCATTTAATAGTCTTTATACATAATATAAGAGTGTGTAAAGATATGACTTGAAGGAGAACTGCGTCATTATTTTTAACCCCGAACCTTTTAATTGACTACCCGAATGAAACAGTCTTAAATCGCTACGGAGTGATACAATCATATTCGCTTACGTCACCACACAGATATTCATCTATAACCTGCCTTCACAATCGAGTCACGAATGTACCATTATGAAGCTTCCGTGTGATTCCCGCCACTTGAGACAATCTTCTATAATCTATCGGCTGTGATTATCGTTCAATACGTTGCGAATGTTTCTCATTTGCTTTATTACCTATAAATACATTTCGATTACCTAAGTGATAATTTTAACCTTTCTTTTACGAACACTCTTACATAAGTTGAAAGTCTGATATCATCAGTAGGTATATTAGTAAGTTTAGTAGCGAATCTTTATCTCTATATATACATGGGAGGAACTCGTAAATATAACGACAATCCGAACTTTAATACTATTAAGTGTTTTTATGTATCATTTGCCTAACTAGCAATTTGCATAATATTAGTTAACGGTAGGAGAATAAAACGCAAGAAATCGAACCAATTCTCAAAAGCGAAATACAGAGATATTTTATTCCCATGCCAGCCTATATAAATAAAAAAAAATCAAATTTGAATACACTGACTATAAAAAAATGTAAATACTGTCTATAGTCAATGTGATTAGTACACATTAAAATAAAACACTTTAACGATTTAAAACGCGATATATATTATTATAGTTAAACGGTGTCTCCCCGCGACCGCAGCTGCTGCAAAGCATCCGAAACGTCGGGCCGAAGTTAAAAATAGTTTTCAAATAAGTTTAATTAATATATCGCGTTTTAAACCGTTAAAATGTTTTAGTTAAATGTTAAAAATATGCTTAAGATGAGACTACGAGTTTTTTCGTCGTCTAAGAGTATTATAATTTTCCAACACCATGGGAACAAAATGCACAATTCACTTGATTAATAACATAAAACACATCCCAAGCGCAGGATACAAAATAATAGCACAGTATCTTATCATTGTGCGAACGCAGAATTACATAAATAATTATACAATTAATTTGCAGAGATCTAGCTCCCGTACGCGTTCCCACGTGACATTATACAATCGACTTTTGAATCTAGCTCCTAGAACGAAAACAGAAAAACACTTCGTATGCAACATTGATAGATTACCCCCATCGCCCTACATTTGCATAATGCCATCCATAACGTTTAGAAAAAGTAGCTCGAGTGAAAAACTTTGCTTTTACTCTGTCCCGCTATAAATCTCAAATCACCCTTATGGTACGAAATTGATTTTGTTTTATAAGTGCAGGTACAAAAATTATTAGAACTAAATATTGTATGTACTTTACGTGAGTAGACCACAACACAATAAAACACTTTTTAACGGTTTAAAACTCTAAATATATTAGTTCATTTATATTAACGACCCGCCCCCCGTGAACACGGCCTGCTGCAAAGTACTTAAAATAAATTGTAATATGTTAACTAATATACTTCCCATTTGAAACCGTAAAAATGTTTAATTAAAACAATTCAACGGCTTAAAATGCAATACATGTTAGTTAAACTTATTTGAAAATGATATTAACTACGGCCCAATGTTCCGGATGCTTTGCAGCAGCCGTGTTCACGAGGAGATTGTCTCTATATATTGCGTTTTAAACCATTAATGGTTTTATTTAAATGTGTACTACTCCCGATAAAATATGTTTTATTTATTAGAACAAGAGTTTTTATGAAATTGCCATAATTTTTAAAATACGAACCTATAGGTTTTAAAAGGTTACTGATAATTTACAGTTATCATAAACTTGTACGGTACACTTCATAAAATTTCTTACAAATGCGGTTACTTTGTTGTAACAAGGGACGCCAAAAAATGTAGGAACGTCTAAAATGGTTTTATAAGAATAGCTATTACTGCTGTTTCCATAGGAAAATTAAGAGCTGAGTTACAAACAATGTCAATTTTTACATTGGTTCACATAATGTTAAAGTATATTAGTAAATCAATATTGATTAATTTAATCCCTACACTTCTCGTCGACATGACTAACATGCCATTAGTTATAGCAGCTTTAGTTTCATGTAACGCTGGACTTTCAATTAGACGGTTGATGGCAGAGCATCGATACAATAGTGTCGACAATGGTCTATGGCACCATACAATTTAGTTGGACGCAGAGACAATTAATCAATGCGATCTATACAATTTAGATATGCAAGATATGGATGACATTGTTCATTAACCGGCTTATCATAACACAAATTTCTATAACAAAGTACTATCAAAAGATTAATATATATTTTATTAAAAGTAAATCAAATTCTATCTTAATCTTGTTACTCTTGTAAAGATCGTAGAAACGCTCTCAAAAGTCGAACATCTATAATAAACGGGCTCGTTGAAATAATCAATGAGTTAATGTTTTTAATTAATTTATATATTTTTTAAAACTTGTTAGATTTAGTCTAGACATATGGATGGTGGTAGGAATAGAACCACCGGCCTGATAAGAAACCCATGAAATTTAAACGC